GTTTGTAGGTGTTCAGAATGGTTTGATCCCTATCCAGCTGAATTCCTGAGAGGAGACGAAATCCAGGTCTCCTACTCTTCCGCCATCTTGCTCCGCCCCCCCGACAATATTGTATTATTAATTATAGTCATCCTGATGTACATTAAGGTCTCAGAACTTCTTATAACTGAAAGTTTGTACTTCAGATCCTTTGACATGGATCTCCGCATTTCTCTTTCCCCTCCCAGTCCCTAACAACCACCATTATATTCTGTCCGTATGAAATCAGTTTTTGTATGTTTGTTTTATATTCTGCATGTAAGTGATACTGTACAGTATTTATTTTTCTCTATCTGGCTTATTTCACCTGGCAAAATGCCCTCCAGTTTCACCCATATTGATACAAATGGCAAGATTTTTTTTTAATGGCCGAACAACATCCCACATAGATACATATACATTGTGTTTATGTGCACGTGTATATATACCACATACATTTTTTTAACGTGATGGTTTCTTAGCAGCTACGTACAGAGGGGTAGGTCAGAGGCTGGGGTGGGTGAGTTGGTGGAATTATTCTGTAGGAGCTTTGGAAAACTCTGGGAAAAGGGGTAGTAGTTTGGTGAGCCCAGATAGTGTCAGTTTAGCTCAGTCCTAAGGAGGAAGCCCGTGATCACTTCCTTGAGGAACCTCACTCATCCGTGCACAGATCCTGGCACTGTTTCTGGCACTCTCTCACCTTCTAAGGGATGGATGGTGTGAAAATAACAGCTTGGTGGGTTGGCTTCAACATACACACGGACCAAGTGACGTTCCCCCAGTAGCTTTGTAAACAATGGATATGGCAGGAAGGAGCCACAGCAAAACAAGAGTACAGATGGCACATCGTGACAGACCAGGTGGGGAATCCTGAGCCATGCCCTTGTGCCAAGACCCACAGATAACTGGGTGCTGAGGTCCTGGCCCAGAGTAGGTAGAGGTTGTTAAGCCATTGATAGTTGGCTTATAGCTATTTAAAGAAAGTATCCTAAAATTTAAAAAGGAACCTAAAAAAGCTATTACCCTATGGTCATCACTTGCTGTTTTGAATCAGGGATATTTTGGTACTATACAATGGAAATGAGATATAGAAAGAAATGAGATGCTGATGAGTATTCCATTTTGTGTGTGTGTGTATCAAAACAGCCTTGCTCTCATTGATTGGATTTATAATTCTATGCAGTTGGGCTCATAGAATTAAATCTATACATGGAAATTGTTTACCGAATGAATAAAAATAAATTACTGTTTATGTATTTTTAAGTACATATAACATTTCACTTGATGAAAAAGTTCCACTGTTTTTTTTTTAAGTTTGGGAAAAATGCACAAAAATAGTAGACAATGGGACCAGAATAGGCGGGCAGTTGCATTCTCCCCTTTTCCTCATTGGGTTGGGTTGTGGGCCCTTTAATAGGTACTAATTCTATTAATAGTATTGCTAATTAACCAGGACAGAAAAGCGAAGAAACAACAAACCAGATCTAATACAATGAGGCATCACTATCCAGGAGTATGGGGGTAAATAATGCACACAGACAGAGAAGGGGAAAAAAGCTGGGGAGAGAGATTGCAAGGAATCGACTGGAGACATAACTAAAGGTTAGCAGTTCGCCCTTCTTTCTTGCTCTCGTTCTGAAAACAGAAAGATTAGATTGATTCAAGCAGATATACTTTGGAATGCCAGAAAGGACGCCTCTCCGGGTGTGGTATTGATAAACTGCCTGAGTGTATCAGTGACATTTCGTTTTACTGGCCCCTCAAGAAGAGGCAGGGAGTGGATTTTTACCTCCCTGCCCACCTGCCTGAGAATTGCTTAAACTGTTTCTGTGTGTGTGTGTTTGCGTGAGGGGCTCCACACCATTGCCTGCTGGGTTAAAATGTTCCTTCTCTGGGGCTCCTCTGAATTCCCTCATCAGATGGATGGGAGATGCAGCCTGTGCCCAGCTGAACTTCATTACTGAGTGTACTGTTGTATTGAATCAAGAGAGCAACTACCGAGAAATGCTTTATGCCCACACCCCCATATTCTTGGTGGGGGATTTATAGGCCTATTTGGCAAAATCATACCAAGGTGGAGTGGTAACGTCACTCTGTGTCTTCCAACAAACAGCCACCCTGCTGCCGCTGATCAGCGTTCCTGGGATGGCGGTGATTGAAATTTAGCACTTAGAGTGACTTGATTGGCACGCAGAACTGTTAAGCATATGCCCCCACCGCAGGTGGACCATCTGATGTACATATAGGGGGCCCAGTACCTCACACATGCTCACATTTTGCTCAAGAAGCAAGCTTTGAGCAGGTCCTTGAAGGAAGCCTGCACAGTGGTTCAGGAGAGGGGTGGCCTTAGATCACAGCTCCTCAGATCTCTGCCTGTCTTTGGGTTACCATAGTTCTTCATTCCCTTGAACTTGGGACAGACCTAAGGTTGTGGAGTTCTAGTTTGCTTGCTGTGAAAGAAGTGTTGGGAATCTGCTCATTGATGCTCGTGCCTTCAGTAAATCAAGCCCTGTGCTGGCAGAGTGGAACTTGGAAAGGTTCTGTAGTCCTTGGCAGCTTGCTGCCTTGGAATTCAAGTTTAGAATGTTCTGTGCTCACTGTGACTAGAACCGATCCCTTGGCCTTCAGGGAAAATCCTGGAAATCGATGTCAACATTTTTCTGCTGAGTTGGAAACAGCAGGGCTGGGCCAAATGGTCTCAGTTATGTGAATCAGGAGAGAAATGGAAACCTCAACAGAAAACAGAGCAAACCTATTAAGTTCTTGTCCTTATGTAAGGAGAGCGAATGAGGGGTGAGGACTCACTGGGTAGGAACACACTGCTCTGTGGACTCTTCCCCTGTGTCCTGAAGCTCATGTGCTCCAGGTAACGGGGGGCCCTGGTCATCACTTCAGATGCCGGAAGACGCAGTCTTCTCAAGCTGCCATGATGGGCATGAGTGTCCGTGGGACTGAGGAGGGGTAGATAAGCTGTCAACTGAGGTTTTCTCTGATGAGCTCCTCCTGTCCTAACTGGATCACAGACTACAGGCCTCATCTGTATTTACGTTCTCCCCAGGCATCAGGCGAAATCCTGGGTTCCTAGTAAGTGTGCAATGAGTGTTGAATTCTGAAAGAAAGAACAAAATCGTTGGAGTTCCTCTGAGTGATTTTGAGAATAGCAGTGGCTTCAAAGCCAAGAAGGGTTTGCTGTTAAGCTAATGGAGCTGAAGTGTCAGTGTCCCGGGACCTGTTCTGAAGTTTGAATTTGTATGTTTATATGCTGTTCCTTATGGAGGGTTCCCCCAATTCTGTAAGCTTCAGGACCCCATAAAACATAAATATGCTCCTGTTAAAATGTTCTTGCTGAGCTCTTGTGGAAGCCTGGATTCCATCGAGTGGCTTTCCCAGAAATTGGAGAATCAGAAGAAACGGATAAAGCCAGCCCTGCAAAGGAGAGGAAAGGGAAGGAACTGACATTTAAGGACCCCATGCAGATTGAAGAATAATTAGCCTTTATTACCTATTTTAACTCCTCACAGCAAGCCTTTCTGGATGATGGCATTACTGCTTGCCCTCTTAATAGATGGGGACATTGAGGTTCAGAGAAGCTAAGCAACCTGCCCAGTGTGGTACAGCTATTAGGGCTGGGACCTACATCACTGACCTTACTCTCTCCTGACCATCTGCTCAGGGGCTCCCTTGCAGGGTACATATTTGACAGCTCTGCTAGCCTTCCCTGAAAGCCTTCAGCCCACCAGGGTAAGGAATGCCTGGATGGGCAGGTAACTCATACTGCAGGACAGAGGGAGAAAGTTGGGGAGGGGATCAGGCCTGAACGGTTTAAAGGAAGGCCCTGGCAAACCCTTCCCCAGTCAGTTAAGTGATGCTGTAATAATTCATTCAATTATGTTAAGCACCCATTAAAGGAATCCTAAGTCCTCCCTTGGGCCATTTCAGTTCTATGATATTGTAATTGTTTGAGACTAACCATGATGTCTTCTTTTGCCTTCAGGTGATTCTCATTTTGACAAAGCTCTATGACTATAACCTGGGGAGCATCACTGAGAGCTCGCTTTGGAGGTACGTAGATAAAGTGAGCTAATGATTACTGTGTTACTTAAACATGACGCCCATGACTGCTCTTCCCCACCTCTTTTTTTCCGGGGGGGGGGGCGGGGGTGGAGATTTTTGGCTCTGTGTTCTCACAGCTTCCTCTGTTTGCTCTCTGTTTTCTTTAGTCACGGATTGGGGTTTATCCCCAGGCAGGCCAGATCCTTACTTCTTTATAGACCCCTTGTTTTTGCCACAGGTCTTTTTGCTAAACTGTTCATTATGAGGTTGCCTTTATGTGTTTTGGTTCCCACAGTTCTCACTGATCTATGAGCTTGTTGGAGCAGAAACAAAAGAATGGAGGGGTGTTTGCAGAGAGGATCTACAGCACCGCTTCTTTCCTGGCCCTCAGCTCACTCGTGTGCACACACACTTGTGTGCATGCCTTCCTGTCTGGGATTCACACTGTATTGTGTGAATATAAATTCTTCAGATGAATGCTATTGATCCTCGAGGATCTGACTCACTCATTGAACACCAGCACACATGTGCAGTTAGGCTGAAACTAGGGACAGGAAGGTCCTCAGAAATCCAGGCAGCTCTTGGCTCCTTTTGTTCTCAGGGGCTATATGTTCCATTGTTTCTGTTTGTTTGTAAACATGGGCTTTATTGGTCTCATCGTGCTTGGGTCTTTGCCAGTCCGTGTCATGTGCCCACACCCAAACCGACCTCAGCCACAGGAGGTGCTTGGTTGCTTAGGCCTGGATCTTGTGATGATCCCTGAGCTGGGGAGAGGGTGGAGATGACCCCAGGGATGATATTTAGCAATCACTGGGTTGGCGCCCAGCCCAGAGTCTGATGGGTCAGTGCCGTCGTTACAGTGATGGCTTAAATACGTTGACTGTCACTTCTGATCAGCCATCCCTGAGCACATACACTGCTGTGCACAGAGGATGGGGGTTGCGGGGAGAGGTGGTACAAAGAATATGGGAGCTGGGAGTTGCCTCGGGGCAGACACAAGCAGGCGGCTCTCCCGCACGTAGGATCAGCAGGGAACTTCACCCGCTGTCAGTTAACAGACCAGGAGAGACTGGCTACTGGGCCTCAGTCGCAGGGCTAATGTCTAGGGAGAAGGAGTTCAATCTGCCCTTTGGGTCAGGGGTCCATCCCTGCTACAGTGAACAGTGACGGGGCTGGAGGGGAGGTAACTGTACTTGCTTTAGCAATTGGGTTGTAGGGCAATGCCCTTGTCACACAGAGGAGGGTCATGAGTTATACACCCTAAAGGAATCTACCCCACAAAAGGATTGTTCACTAAATTTCATTTTAACCTGATGGCTGTTTTCCATTAGGCTTCACACTCCATATAAGAAACCCCAAATAAATTGTTGTGTGCTTTAGGAAAACCCCAGCAGACCAAAGAAAAGGATAGGATCCTGTTCTTGTGCTTGTGGTGAGGTGTTTAGATTATTGAGCTCTTCCCCCAACAAGAAGGTCAATTATGCAGAGTTTTGGTCCCAAGGAAATGATGTAACTAAATTAAAGTGTGGGAAATTTGGTAGGAGCCTCAGAAAGTACAATTCTTTAATGCATTAAGGGCCTGACACTTGCTTTATTGTTTAAATTCACGACCCCTTCATCAGACTCTCTGTGACTCTGCGTAAGCTTATGTTTCCTTGATAGATTGCTCTAATGTATGTACATACATGAAAGTAAAAGCCAGCTTTTACTTTGCGGTGCATCTGCTGTGTGAAGTGTAGTCGGCATGTTAGAAAATTAAAAGATATGCAGTTCTGTCTCAGTGGGGACAGAGGCTGTTGGCGGCCCCAAGTCTCAACCCGAGCAGGGCGAAGGGCATGCCCCAGGGACAGGAGGAACAGCTTGCCCTAGACTGCTGAAAGTCAGGTTCACCATGCTCCTTTCCTTCTTGTGGGGCACTGTGACTGATGCCCTGGCCTAGGGAGGATGTTTTTTTCTCATCTCAAGAAGGGGGGGTGAGTTAGTAAAATTAAAAAAAAATAAATAAAAATTTTGTGTGCAAATAAGCAAACAAAAGTAATACCAGGCCTTTCTTCTGAAGGAGCAACCTCCATGGGCTTAAGCTTTGGAAAGTGTGGAAGGAATCATCTATTGACCCTTCAATCTTAGGATCGATTTCAATGGAGGATATATACACATACATAGACATACACACACGTATACGCATATAATATACCTGCATATGTTTACTTTTCTGATTGAGCCACGATAGTCATTTATCGTGTCTGCCCTATGTTACATGTCTCATTTGTAGCAAAAAACTACTGTGGGTGCGCTATGCTATTAAAACTATCAGTTTAATGCTTTGATAGAAGAACCCATGCCTTAATGAAAATATAATTTAGAAAAGAAAAGAAAGAAGGAGAAAGAAAAATATTTCGAATACTTCATAACTGCCTTGGTAGGGTTTGCGTTTTAGGGTGGTTCACGATGCCCATGTTTGGTTTTTAGGGAATCTCTTTGGGGTGTTAATATAGAAGAGGAGAGGGAGAGTCTGGGTTAGCCCTGCTTGAAGGAAACTAGTGCCAAACTCGTTTTCTCCTGCATCAGCTCTTACTTTCTTTTTAGAAACCTGGCTTAAAATTGGGGGCTTGCTGGGGACAAGCTGGAATTTAGGTATTCTCATTACATCCCTAGCACAGAGCACTGGACTTAGCCCATTGATGATGCTCAGTAAGCATCTGTTCTTGAACAGACCAGTGAATACTTAAATTTCATATTCTTATTCATTTATTCAACAAAGATGTATTGATTAACTCCTGTAAGTCTTAGATTGTTCTGGTCCATGGAGGGGAATGTGGGTGTGTACATAGATCAAGAGCACGTAAGCTCTGTCTTTCAGGTGTTCATTGTCTAGAGGGGGGCAAAGATCCGTGGACAGTTCAAATGAGAGTTAAATGTACTTTTATGGAACCTGCCTTCTATAACTGTATTGGATTGGGTACTTAGGCAGCCACCTAGAGCTGCCAGATCCCAGAATAAGATAGATCTAATGTAAACAGACAAACTGTCATACAACATAAGTTTTGTGATAAAGACACGAGATAAGCGTTGCTTCTTTACTTTACTCACGTGTATATTTTCTCTCCTCAACCAGACTTTAAATCCTTAAACCCGACACCTTTCTGGTTTAATGATAATGGCAATGATGCTGGTGATAATGATGATAATGACAACAATAATAAAAACAAACTTCTATTGAGCGGTCACTATGTGCCAGGCATGAAATTAAGCGCCACACGTGCAGTATTGTGACCTCTTACTTCATTTTTATGGTGTGCTCAGGGTCATGCGACTAGCAAATAATAGGCCATACATTTACGGGCATGTTAGTTAATAAACTTCAATCATTTTACTGCTTACCTGTCTTCGGGAGTCCCCTCTGCCTTCTGGTGACTCTTTCTGTACCTGAGCAAATAAGCAAACAAAATTTTAATCGTAAATATATGAAGTAAATAGAGTTTTTAAAGAACTGTGACATTCTGAGCAGCTTATTACTATTCCAGAAAAATATTGGGCAAAAGGGAAATGGCTTCTTGTCCAACAAAGAGACATAGCACTTTTCAATGGAGCCCTTATTCTTTACAAGTTTTTTCCACCAAACAGTGAGAAGGGGTCAAGTGGCAAATGGCACGGGGTGTCAGAACAGGAAAGAGGCCCAGAGGCAACTGACCTTGTAGTGATGTCCTAGCTTCGCACCTTGCTGGCTCAGCAAGCTGTGGATGACAGGGTGAGATGCAGCTGCGCTGAATTAATGAGCTTCTGCTCCCAGGTGGTCTTGTCATTGACTACACCTTAATCTTAGAGCAAGTTGTTGATTTTGTTTTGTGTTGTGTTGTTGTTCACTCAGGGAGTCCAACCAAGAGGAAAGGGGGATGATCTGACACAGAACAATTCACTACCCCTCAGAATCTTCTCCACTTTACAGTGGATTAAGCTTTGAGATTCGGTAGAGCTGGTGGTTTTGCCATATTGGAGCAAGATAAGCTTAAAGGTTGAGACAAATAAAATGTCAAAATCTAGATACAGTATCCCTGAGAAGAAATATATTCATCTTTTTTCCCTCTAGTGCCTGGGTAATCAGCACTTTGCTGAGAGAGGCTTAGCTGGTGAGAAAGCCCTAGGCAATTCTGGAAGGAGCTGAAAGGGATACTCTTTTTTTTTCTCCTATTTATTTATTTATTTTTGATGTAGTGTTCCATGATTCATTGTTTGCATATAACACCCAGTGCTCCATGCAGAACGTGCCCTCTTTAATACCCATCACCAGGCTAACCCATCCCCCCACACACCTCCCCTCTAGAACCCTCAGTTTGTTTCTCCGAGTCCATAGTCTCTCGTGGTTCCTCTCCGCCTCTGACTCCCCCCCTTCATTTTTGAAAGGGATACTCTTAAAGGGACAGGCAGCCCGCGGTGCCCATGTCCTAGAGATTGGCTGACATGGCTGACTTCTTTTCAAATCCAGGGTACCATTTCAGATTCAGGTGAAACACAAGCAAGCGTCCTAACACATCTTCAAATTAGGTACTTTTCTAGGAGCAATACCTGCTTTTTGGGCACAAGGAGCATGTGGCTAAGGTAGGGAGCATGGTTAGGCTTTCTGTGATTCCACCCTGGGAGCCAGCCCTGTGTCCTCATCTTGGGTGTTACACACAGCAGTTATCAAGAGAGGCTTCCCCGTAGAGTCTTTGTGGAGAGAATGGCTCTGTGGAGAGTCCCTTGAGGCAGTGTCTGTGTGGGGTTGGCTGCAGACAGTGCTGTCTGGAGAGCGCCTGTAGTTCAGGCTGACAAAAGCTGACCAGAAGTCTGGGACTCTGCCTTCCCTGTGGTGGATACACATTAGCTAGGCATATCTTGCCTTCCCACTCCTCATCCAGGGCAAGAGCAAAGTGGCAGCTTAGGATAAGTTGTTAGTCCCTGCTTTGAAGGATGCTTTGCTACAAAATCCAGCTTTCAGTCAACTACAAAAATAAGAATATAAAAAATAGGGA